ACATGAGTGCTTTTTTGTGTGAATGTTTTCACCTGGATTATCAGAAGTGTAGTGATTTTATAAAGGGAGCTGCAGAAGAACAATATAATGTATATTTATATATAGTATATAGGCAAGTATAAAGGCTGTCTCAGAAAGAACTACGAAAACGTAAAAATGAGTTAGAGCTGGGAACGTACCACAAGCAAACAACAGAGAAGACAAAAGTTCTGTCATGGTGAATTTCATTCTATAAAATCCCAGCTTACATATCACTTCTCCCTTTTGAAATCTTAACATAAAACATCTATCCTATGTGGAAAAAAATCATCCAGACTAAGTGTTCTTCCCCACCCAAAATTCTACTGGAACAAAAATGCATGTTGTAGACAAGCAGATGAAGCATTAACAGAACAATTTGTTTGACAATCTAAGCATGGATGCTCTACAAAAGTTGAGACAATTTATCAGCTGCAATGTAACCAAACACTTTAAAAACCAAGCATATAGATAGTCCTAATGGAAAAATATGAAAAATGTTGGAAAAAGCTGCTTTATAGAAGTCATAATATTACACTTTTAGAAATGTACTCTTAAGTATGTCTTTTGTTCTTACAGTTATCTTCAGTGTTAGCTAGGTGGGTGGTTTGCCTGTTAATAAGAGTGATTTTCTACATAGCAAACAGGTAGACTGAAGCCTTTATTCAAAAACCCCCGTCGCTTGAACCAGTCAGTCAACTGTTTAAACCAAGTTGGTTGAAGACTCATTCTTAAGTGTAAACCATGCACTGGTTATTCAAATACACATAGGAATAGCTTAATTTTCTGGAAAACTCAATAAAACTGCACATTCTGTTAAAGATGGGATTAGCAATGCTTGTCCAAATAAAAATAAGATTGCCAGTAGCATCAATAATTTTAACTGAAGAGATAAAAAGTCCACCCAAACCAAGCCACTTCAAATTCAAGGAAAAAACCAACATATGAAGTTTTAGCTACAATTACTAAATATTGTAGGAATTGTAGCAGATGAGAGTTTTACTTTAAATGAGTTATTTTAATCTTAAATTATTCGAAAGATTTTAAAAACCAAGAAACTGAAGTACTCACAGATTTGCAGGCGGCCATTAGCTTGAAATCTGTCTCAGTCCATACAGGCCTTTCCAAAAAAGTATACCACTAGCATCTGTGGTCCTTTTTAAAGGATTATTTAATGGAACCAACTGCTAACACAGCTGGCCTGAGGTTTTATTCCCACATAGCACCAACCACATTAACCCAAAGAAAGCAAAAAAAAAAAAAAAAAAAAAAAAAAAAAAAGTATTTGAAAGAAAATGATGTTGCTCAAGAAGGATTTCAACCATATCAAGTGAAAGCATCTTGAATATTAGCCTATTTTCATTCTGCACCACAAAATGATCATTATCAGCCCTTCAGGAATATTTTTAACCTGTGGTAAGTTCCCTCCGTCCATCCCAAGTAGTTTTCATACTGAGGGAACATTTTATAAGAACATTCCAACAGGTTAGAAATATTAAAAGCAAATCAAATAATCAGTGTAACAGACGAAAATTCAGTTGAAAAGAAAGCCGAAGTTGCTACTAAACACTAGAAGGAGCCCAAATCAGCCATGCACCAGCCCACATTTCTCCCCACCTCAGGCAGCTGGTTGCTAGAGTTATCTAGAGGCGAAGCCTCCAAACTTGGGGTCTCTGTTCTGATTTGAAGCACCTCTTCTGTTCCCACACTGCTAGTGGAATCTTGAGACTGAAGTGATAAACCAGCATGATCTGATATTGTTTCGTCTATGGCAGAATCACTGTTTAACTAAGAAAAGAAAGAAACATGAAATTCTTCATAGTTTAATGAACAGATAAATTACAGGGGAAAAACACATTAGTTTTTAAATAGGCTGTTTCAGTATGGTTAGCTATTTGAATTTATTTACATATTACGAGTTTAACAGCCTTACACTAAAACCATTACAAGCATCACATGCATTTCTGTAACATTTAGCTTTGAAGAGAAGTTTGAAGTTATCCTTGGGATCCAGAAAATTATTTCCTTTCTTGTTCTTAAAGGTCTTTGGCACTGGTGAAATACTAGATCAAAACCACTGAAGAGCAGAGCTCTTTGTTATGGGCAACATTAATACAAACTTTGCCTAAAGTCTGGAAAGCAGCATACTATCCCTGCTGCTCCCCATCCAGTCAATTTTTTCCTAATTTAATTTATGTAATGCAGAGAGACTTCTGAGTGGCCAGCATTTTTGATTCTTCTCAGTTATATGTACGCATGCTTCAAAATTCATAATTAAATAAGCAATTTCAGTGGTTAAACACAACTGAGGCTCCCATGGGATCACTTACTGCTCTTGCTCTTGCTTAGTACTTTGGGGTTTTTTTTAAGCTAGGAATCCACAAATCCAATGCAATTTTGCACTTCTATTTAAACAAATATAGTAAGTATAAAGACACAAGAAAAAAAGAATGTTGTACTAGCATTATAAACCTGTTATGTACCACCAGTAGGTAA